AATCGGAAAAATCTTGGCCGCATTATGTTGCGGCGCCGGCGGAAATAAAATAGATATAGTTGAGGAATTTTGAAATGTTGAATATTCGTTTGTAGTTGATCGATCTAATTTCACCTTTTTCCCTGTTTGGTGTTTAGCTGAGCCGTGATACGCTGGGATTGGTACCGGAGACGGTGAAGATGATAAGTGAAGCATCTCAATCTGGTGATGGGAAATCCAATTTCATAATTGACGGTGTTGATGTTCCAACGTACCGTTTCTCAAATCCTTTCACAGCTTCTCATTTGTATTTGTTTGTTTCGCATGAAAACAATCGTTGTGTTAAATCATGGCACCTATTGTTACAAATCTCGGCAGCTTAATTGAAGAGATTCTTTATAATCCACTTAGTTATTTGACCAGTTTATTTTTCTTTAATTTTTGGATGCTTTTCGATTCAGGTTACGGTGGATTGGCATGGCGTATAACAAAATCTCAAGGTCCTCAGATATTCGTTTCCAACTGGATGATGGAACGGGCTAAATTGAATGTATAAGATAGTAACGTCGCAGATTCCGTTTGAATTCAATTCACATATGAATGTCATCCTATTGTTATTTAATTAATTTCCGTTGCATTAGTGGTACCATGGGTGTTTTTTGTTTCATCATTGCATTAAAAGAACAATATAGTATTTAGAGAAGCAATTTTGATCTGAACGATTTTTGTTTGAACCAGGATGACTGAAATGATTGACAAAGAGAAATGGATGCACTAGAGTAAGTTCTCTCCTTCATATAATTCAGTTAAGCATTTGTTGTTTCTAATTTGGAATGTCATTATATGCTTCTATATTATTATATTTGGTTACATACTTGAACTTTTTTGTGCAACAGAGACGGAACTTATGTTCGTGTTAATGGACACTTGCAAAGTTGTCAAGGCAAGAAGCAATTAAGTGCCTTCTCTATGAGGTATGGTTCCATAAATAAAATTTATTGTTTTCCAATAGATTTGTACAGTTGTGATCTCTTATTTATTGTTAACACACTCAATTTGTTGGTTGATGTGCTCCTTGCTTGAATATCATCTTACCAAGAATTTCATTGGCATCTGGTCCATGTAACGTGACAAAATTTTCATATAGAATCCTTTATGTGCTTTACAAGTTCAACTCCAATTAGCCAACCAAGAGCTGAAACTTGGATAAGATTGTTGTTTTATGCGTACTGTAAGTATTCATCCATTAATTTCTTCATTTTTGCTTTCTTTTTCCTCCTGTGCTAGGGATGCTATGGAGTTCCTCGAAAGGGAAGGTAAGGTTTACTCCTCAATTGATGATTATCACTACAAGGCTGTAGAAGGCCTCAAACTCTAAAGAGCATATCTTTGTAACTTAGCTTGGAACTGGGCGTTAAACTGGATCTAGTCACTGTAATAGGTGTTATTCATCATTGTTTCTTCTCCCTCCATCTTTTTTGGTAGTAAATGTGTGATATATATACTGTTTGGATTGGATTATTTGTTTCATCTCGTAGAGTAGAATCTTTTAAAAGTTTACTTATTTATAAAAAAAAAGGTAAAAATGCATTAGAGGTCTCTGTACTTTTTTAAAAATCAATATGGTCATCGTATTATTTTCTCTCAATGTGGCTTTCCAACTCAGAAAATAAGTCCAATGTGAACCTTGGGCCAATGTTTTTCGTCGTTAACCGTTACGATGCTGACGTGGAGATCCATGGTGTTGACGTGGCGATCTAAGGTGCTGATGTGACAGTTCACAGTGGTTGATAATTTGGCAGATAACAAGACAAATGAGTTAAATTGGTAATTCAAACATGACAGATTGACTGTCATGTCAATATTGTAAACTGTCATGTCAGCATTGTAATGGTCAAATGAAGAAAAACGTTGATAAAAGAGCCACATTAGGTTTGTTTCTGAGTTAGAGAATTACATTGACAGAAAAAAAAATAATACAAGGATCACATTGATTTTTCAAGAGTACAGAGATCTTTTATGCTTTTTGCAAAAAAATAACATCATGAAATTGTGGAGTATATGATTCATCATGCTAACCATTATAATGTGAGTTTTTGTAATGAAAACTAAATAATTAATAATGTTGAACGTTTGTTTCTTAATATAACTATATTTTACTTTATTTAATGTTAAAGGAGGCGAGAACGCCATTGTAGAGCTTTATTAATCCTCAAGGGAAGAGGACCGAAGACGTCTCTATGAAATACATCAAGTAAAAGAATAAGAAAAGAATCGAATATAAAAATCGAGCCCTCCGTAGGGGTATTCATTATAGAAATGAAATCGATCCCTCCGTAGGGGTATTCATTATAGAAATGAAATCGATCGATGAATTAGCCTCTCAATAGATCTTCATGAAATTGACAGACCAAGACATAGATTAGAGTATATATTATTACATTGAATATCAAACATGAGATATAGAGAGGAGAAAGTGAAGGTTTAAGACTTAAGATTTTAGAGGTTTAGGGTTTGAGATTTTCTTTTTTTTTAATTAGTTTTTTTTATTGGTGTGTTGCTTATCTATTTTCTTTTTCATATTTATTAATTGACGACGACATCAACTTTATTTTAGTTGCTAACTGTCGGTATTCTTTATTGTCTTTTTCTTCTCTATATCATATCTTTATTTTCTTTTATTTTTTGTTCTTCAATAAGTTTGATTGTGTTGCACATTTTCATATGCCTTTATGGCATGTTTTCTTATGCTTCTTGGCATATTTTTCGGTTCTTTGACCGTTTTTTCATTTATATTTTTTCTAAGAGTTGATTTGACATTGTCACAACTGATCAAGATGGTGTTTATTTAATATCTTGTTGATCTTTCCTGCTTTGGATCCTCAGATTGGATTTGGATACCCAATTTGCATTCGTTGATAGCTTTTCACGTCGCTTGAGTCCGATTTGTGGTTTGTTGGTGGTCTTTCAATAGCTTGATCCCTTTTGTAGTTCGTTTGCCGATACGATCAGATTTGTTTGTATCCGCCTTTGTTAGAGTTTTTTGTTTAGATTTAATCTTTCCTTGTATGGTTCTTATGCGATATTAAGTTGTTAGTTTTATTTCAATAATTATAAAAAAAATTCCTAATTATGTGCTTAATTTATGATTGTGAGTATAAATCTTTACTGCAATTTGAAATATTTCATATTTTGAATAAAATTAATTACTTTTATTAAAAAAAGAGTGGAGAAGGTGAACCCTTGAGCGCTAAGTTACTTCGGAATATTAATAGGAAGGCACGTTGACGTGTTTTGTTTGTCCTGGTGTTAGTGTGAGTGTTCTTTTCTTCCTACTAAGCTAGAAAGATTTTTAAAGATGTCTATACTAACATATCCCTGCGTATGATCATATTAATAGAATCATACCATTCACAAAAAAAAAAGTAAAAAATATATTTGAGAATGTTGTACTTTTCTCAACCAAAAAAATTAATGTGGCTATCAAATTAGTTTTACATTAGAAAAAAGTTTAATTTTGTTCTCTGGCTAACGATTTTCATCATTGACCGTTATGATATTAATATGACACTTCACGATGCTGACATGATAATTTAATGTATTGATGTAACAGTCCATAGTAGTTGTTGAAGTGACGGATGACATGACAATCAGGTTAAATTAACTTTTTATTGAGTTCGGACGCTAAATAATTTTCTTAAAGTTCATTGGCTTATTTTATTTTTTAAAAAATAAAAATATTTTAAATTTAAATTATAAAAAATTTAAAAATAAATATAAAATATTAAAAATAAATATATATTATTATTTTTATCTCGAATTTAACCATAAATCCAAAATTCTAAACTCTACACAATTAAATATAAAAATATATATTAACCAGGTGAAGGCAATTTTCCTTTTCTTTAATCAAGTTTAATTAATTAATTATATAATTATTTTTAGTATTTTTTAATTATGTAATTTCATACATAAATTTTAATTTTATAACTTTTAAATTTTATTTTTATATTAATTTATAATAATTAATTAATTAAATTTTATAAAAAAATAAAAAGATAGAGATAAAAAATGTGATAATAATATAAAAGGAAAGTTATGCAATATAAAATTTGCAATGATTTTAAAAAAAGTTGCATATGCTAAAATTATAAAGAGAGGATCAAAGCGATCGTTGGGTAAAGCTGTGATTCACAGTTTTTTCTCATGGTTATCGGTAATGTTCCTCCTCGCAAAGCTCTAGGCAAAACCCTATGCAACAACAATAGAAAATTCCTACAGGTAAACCTTCGAATAACCGACCTCTACCGACGGAATAACAGTAATCACAAAGAAATAACAAAAAGCAAATCGGTAGAAGTAATAACAGTATTGAGCCAAGAAGGAGAGAATAATAACAAAGGAGGCAGACAAGAAACACAAGGAAGTGGACACAAGCAGGAACCAAAAAAATTAAACACACCTGAGGTTATAATGTCGATCAACTCCAAAGCACCGACAGTTACGTCGCACATGATACAAAAACAGGCCACCACTCAGCAGTAACAATTGAAGAACACATAGGGGCTAATCAAAGAACAAAACCAGCACAAGGCAAGAACAAATACGGGGGATACTCTCAGATGGGAACAAAAGCTAATACCAAAGACAAATTACACTCGCTCGACACCAAAGCCGATGCTAACCGAATGGCTCCAAGCCAAAGATAGCCAAGGGTATGACACGGTAACAATTAAAGGAAATACTAAATTAATGGTACAAAATAAAAGGAAGGATAATCCAGAGATATATTCAAGTAGTGTGGTAACGAAAACCACCAACACACTTTAAGATGAACAACCAAGAGGCATCGATTGAAGTTAAGGTGCAGGAATCTACGGCTATCCCAACGAACCAGAATGAGTTGGATCCTCTCTCCAACACTCAAAATGATTAATTTTCTATTCTGGAATTGTCAAGGGGCAGCTAGCCCGAAATTTCGAAGACACTTCAAAGAGTTCTGTAGGCTACATAAACCAAAAATGGTCGCATTGCTCGAAATAAGAACCAGTGAGGATAACGTTGACAAAATTATTCTAAATTTAGACTATCCAAATTTGTTTCAAGTGGAGGCTTCAGGATTTAGTGGAGGAATTTGGATACTGTGGGAAGATACAATACAAGTGGAGATAATAAAAATCTCGTCACAGTTTGTACACGGTCGAGCAAGAGAGGAAGGAACATCGCAATGGGTTTTCTTCACAGCAGTATATGCCAGCCCAAATATATCCAAACACATCGAGGTATGGGAATTACTTTCAAATCTGAATACAGGAAATAACGAAGCTTGGTTATCGGGCGAAGATTTTAACGCTACCTTACGTCGAGAGGAAAGCACGGGAGGAGCAGTGCGAGGTCTTGGAGGAAGCAAACTTTTACAAGACTTTATATGCGATTCAGAACTTATGGAAGCAGAATATAAGGGGAGCGACTTCACATGGAAAAGTGGAAAACTATGGAACAGACTAGATCGTTGCCTTTTCAATAAATGATGGGCCAATTTATGTCCAATGTCGCTTGTTAAACATTTTGATAGAATAGGATCCGACCATTGCCCTTTGTTGTTTCACGAGCCAATATTGAGCAGACAAACATTAGATAGACCATTTCGATTTATTGCCATCATTTACAGAACTGGTTCGTGAGAATTGGGATGAATCAAATGTTGCGGAAAACGACTATCGGATAGAGCAAAATCTCAACTGATAATTTGAGAAAATAAAAATGAAGATAAAAGAGACATAAAATTTACGTAAAAAAACCCATAATATATGGTAAAAATCACGGGCAACGGTAGAATAATTTCACTATGAAAAAATAGGAATTACAACTTTTATCGATCTACCAAGGAAAAAACAATGATAATTCTCTCTTGATAAAAAAGAGAAAACAACTCTCAAGAAACTCTCTAAATTCTCTAGTATTGGAAAAAAGCTAGAACGATTTGGGATGATTTTGAAGCTAAATGAGTTAGGGTATTTATAGTTGAAGCTTAAGGACTAATTTTGTAAATACCCTAAAGTACAATGACTAAATTGAGTAATTTACCCTTGCACATTTTCAACAATTACAACCCCTTTTTGACTTATTATTTTCGGTGGATTTAATTCCACCTTTCGGTGGATTTGTTTAATGCCACCTTTCGGTGGATTTTAATTTTTCAACAATCTCCCACTTGAAGATTTGATTGGAACAATCATATCTTCACACCATTCTTTCTACCTTGTACCTTTATGTTGCTTACGTCTCTGACAGGCCACAAGAGGATCGACACCAAGTAAATTTATCGGTATTGATCACCTTCGTCATTAAATCTGCTATGTTGTCTTTGGTATGGATTTTCTGCATATCTATCGTCCATTCTTCCACCTTTTCACGAATGAAGTGGTACTGAACTCGTATGTGCTTTGTCCTTGAATGAAATGCTGGATTCCTTGCTAGATGCAAGGCGCTTTGACTGTCACAAAACAGAGAGACATACTCTTGATTGTGCTCAAGCTCCTCCAATAGCATCTTTAACCAAATTACTTCTTTACTGGCTTTTGTAGCTGCTACATATTCTGCCTCTGTTGTGGATGTAGTCACAACTGACTGCAATTTTGAAACCCAGCTTATAGCTCCACCATCAATTTTGAACACATATCCTGTAATAGATTTGCTTTTATCCAAATCCCCTGCATAGTCAGAATCTACATACCCATTGATTAGTAAGTTTGATCCTCCGTAACATAATGCAACATTTGAGGCCCCTTTGATGTATCTCAGGGTCATCTTTACTATATTCCAATGCTTTTTGCCTGGATTCGCCATGTACCGACTAACCACCCCTACTGCTTGTGCAACGTCTGGTCTTGTGCAAATCAAAGCGAACATTAAACTTCCAACTACTGATGCATACGGTACTCGAGACATCTCCATCCTCTCTTCTTCACTGCTAGAACTCATACTGGAGGATAATTTGAAGTTAATAAGAAGAGGGGTAGAAATTGGCTTATAATCTTGCATGTTGAATCTTGACAAGATCTTCTTCAAGCAATTCTTTTGTGAAAGACAAATCTTCCTATTACTTCTATCTCGGTGAATTTGTATCCCTAGAATCTTGTTTGCTGATCCCAAGTCCTTCATTTCAAATTCCCTAGCCAGTTGTGCCTTCAATTCTTCAATATGATCTTTGTTAGGTCCTGCAACCAACATGTCATCCACATACAACAACAATATAACAAAATCGTTATCACCAAACCTCTTGAAATAAACACAAGGGTCTGTATTACGTCTGTTGTATCCAAGGCACATAATGAAGGAATCAAGTCTCTTATACCAACACCTCGACGCCTGCTTTAGACCGTACAAAGATTTGTTCAACCTGCAAACCAAGTTCTTCTTTTCTTTTTCTTCAAAATCTTCAGGGTGGAGCATGTAAATCTCTTCCTCAAGATTTCCACGAAGAAAAGTTGTTTTAACATCTAGCTGGTCTAGATGTAAGTTCAATGTAGCACACATTGCCAAGACTACTCGAACTGTTGTTAGTCGAACCACATGAGAAAATATTTCATTGAAATCAATACATTCTTTTTGAGCATATCATTTGACCACCATTTTTGCACGATACCTCTCAACTTGATCGTCACCATTTCGCTTGATTTTAAAAACCCATTTGTTACCAATTGGCTTTCTTACTTGTGGTAGTGGCACAAGGTTCCATGTATTATTTTTATGAAGGGATTCAATTTCTTCTTGCATCGCCATCATCCACAGTGAAGCATCTGAGCTATTTATTGCCTCCTGGTATGTTGATGGCTCACTGTCCTCTGTTAAAAAGGCAGTATGCAATATTTCCTTCTATAACATAATCTGAGTGCTAATTGGGACGTCTTCTCACACGATCTAATTGACGAGTATTTGGAGTTTCATAACTCTCTGGTTCTTGTTCATATATACTGGTTCTGCTTCAGAAGAATCTCCTTGTTCAACCTCCTTTTCCACATGTATCTGTGTAGTCTTTGACTTTTCAGCGCTACCATCTTCTTCTTTTCTTTGTAGCTTATCTTTTACAAAGATAACATCCCTACTAATGATCACTTTGCGGGCAGTGGGATCCCACAATCGATACCCCTTTACTCCATCAGCATACCCCAAGAATTTGTATTTCCTGGATTTTGGATCCAACTTTAAAATTTCTTGGGATTTGTACATCATGTACACAATACTTCCAAATACATGGAGGTTTGAATAATCAGCTGGTTTACCAATCCACATCTCCATTGGTGTCTTCAGCTCTATTGCAGTTGATGGAGCTCGATTCACCAAATAACAGGCGGTATTGACTGGTTCTGCCCAAAATGATTTTTCTAGGCCTGCAGCCCTCAACATTGCTCTTGTTCTTTCTAACAAGGTTATGTTCATCCGCTCTGCCATTCAATTTTGTTGAGGAGTGTTCGCCACTGTGAACTGTCTTTTGATGCCTTCTTTCCTGCAAAAGTCATCAAATTATTCACTTGTGTATTCTCCTCCATTATCTATTCTAAAACACTTGATATTATTTCCAGAATCAAGTTCCACCCGCGCTTTGAAGTTTTTGAAAGTTGAAAACACGACTGACTTCTTCTTAATAGGGTACACCCAACATCTTCTGGAGTAGTCATCAATAAATGAGACAAAATATTTTGCTCCGCCTAGGGATGTAACTGATGCTTGCCATACGTCAGAGTGAACCAATTCTAGAACACTTTTGCCTCTAGACTTTGATGTGTTGAATTTCAACCGGTGGGTGGTTACTTGGTATGCAGTGCTCACACAAAGTAAGTGATATATTTGTTAAGCCTGAAAGTAGCTTTTGCTCCACAAGGATTTTAATTCCTTGTTGACATGTGTCCAAGTTTATGAGGCCATAGCATTGTAGAATCTGAACTACATGAAGCAACAGAGGCTTATGCTTCTAGCAAAGTCTCTCCCTTTAGCATGTACAAGTTTGCTGCTATCTTTTCGCCTTTCATCACCACAAGCGCTCCACGAAACACCTTCATGATTCCTTTCCGTGTTTCAATCTTGGTAGCATTATTATCCAACAATTCGTAGGATAATAAATTTTTCTTTAGGCCTTTAACATGTCGCACATCTCGAACAACTTTAATTATTCCATCATACATCTTCAATTTGATGGTTCCCACACCAACGGTCTCTAAGGTATGATCATTGCAACTATAAACGGATCTTCCTGAGACAGGTTCATAATGATGAAACCATTCTCTTCTTGAGGTCATGTGACATGTTGCTCCTAAATCAATGAGCCATATATCTGCATATCTCTTTATATCTTCCACGGTGGTTGACGCTTCACAGCGTAAAGCATCTCCATCATCTGAAGTGTTTGCGGTATTACCTTGTGGATTGGAGTTTTTATTTAAACTCCAACAATCCTTCTTCAAGTGACCATTCTTTCCACAGTTGTAGCACTTTAAATTCTTTTTTCTTCTTGACTTCGATCTACCATGTTTGTGACTACTGCTTTGGCCACATTCTGTTGATCTCCCTCTCATCGTTGTCAACGCTTCTGCTTGTTGCAGATTTACTTGTCTGTCTTTCTTGTTCTTGCGCAAATTTTCTTCTTGTAGAACAGAAGCTGCAACATCATCGAAGACTAGACTGGTGACATTACTATTTGTCAAGTTGATTATGAGTTGATCATATTAATCCGGTAAACTTTGAAGTATAAGTTCAACACGTTCTTTTTCTCCTATTTTATAACTTAAAGATGTAAGTTGAGAAAATAAAGTGTTCAGTGTATTTAAGTGCTCCGTCACTGAAGTATATTCTGGCATATGGAGAGTGTACAATTTCCTCTTAAGGAAAATTTTATTGTGCAATGATGTGGCCTCGTACAATTTGGTGAGATGATCTCATATCTCCTTAGCTGTCTTTTTCTCCTCAATGCTTGATAATACTTCATTTGCTAATGCTAGATGAAAGTTTGCCATGGCATTCCCGTCCATTTCAATCCATTTGTTGTCATCTGTGAAATCTACCAGCCTTTCACTAATAACTGCTAGACAACCGTCTTTCTTTAGGATGACATTCATCTTCAATTTCCACAATGAGAAATTTCTCCCATTAAACTTTTCAATATCAAATTTCGGTGTCATAACTTCTATTACGGATAGCTCCCACTATTTCACTATCGTGAATAGTTCTTTGAAACCTTCAAAGAATGGGTAATACTTTCTTACTTTCTTATATTTGAGGATCCACCTTTTGGTGGCAACCACAAAGACAATAAGCAGATATTACACACTCTAATTTGGCTCTGATACCAATTGTTGTGAAAGACGGCTATCGGATAAAGCAAAATCGTAACTGATAATTTGAGAAAATAAAAATGAAGATAAAAGAGACACAAAATTTACGTGAAAAACCCCTAAATAATATAGGGTAAAAACCACGGGCAACGGTAGAAGAATTTCACTATGAGAAAATAGGAATTACAATTTTTCTCGAT